ACACCTTTTTATTATTTACTTAATATGAATGAATAGAGCAGTTGGCCATAAAAAAATAAGTCTATGGTGGTTATATTTAGAAGTAATTTTTACTTCATAGCTTTTAATGCTGTGCTGAATTCATAGGACCAGGCTTTATGTTAATTATTTGGTGACTTCTAGAATGGTTTCTAGTTTAACATTTACTTACAATTAGACAAAACACTATGTGATCCAACTGAACCTCTTGTTATCAATTAAACCCAATAGATATCCCGACAAAATTTGAGGTGTTAGTCCCAAAGTTATTGGAATATACTTTCTTTACTGTTATCATGACTAATTTTAAAGATGTTTCTAATTGAATTTCATATACTAGATTATTTTTTTGAAAAGACATATCAGTATATGTTTTTATAGATTAAAAATACTGACTGACAAAGTACGACAATCAAGCTTTAAACCATGTGTGCAAAAGTTAGAATTAAACGGAGTCTCTCGGTTATCATAGTTTTCCATCTCATTTAACTACTGTGCTGCAATCTAAGATATGTCTTGGTTATAGTTATTATGTCGTAAGTCTCGATGGAATATCACTTGTATTTGATTGGACAACAGATTGAGTGATGTTAAATCTAGATATAGAGTAAAGAGAAGAAAAGAAAAACGAGTTAGTTGATAAGTTTATAAACCGTTATCTAAGGTTGACAAAGCATTTGTAACGTATGCTGAGCTATCCTATACTCCGGTATACTGAGTTAACTTCGGTGTTCTAAAGACAAAAGATAATCCAATACTGTCAAACCAAGACTCATCTTTCATCCATATAGTCTCTAACTACATGTATGAACTATACCGACATCCTGTGGGAGTTTCATAGAATAGCTACAACTGATAATCAAAGAGTTTAACCGAAATAAATGAAAAATTGTCACTATAGCTCAAATTCACTAATTTTTTCTTTTTTTTTTCTAAATAAAAAGTTTGAACAATTAAGTTTCTCCTGTCTTGAATTCTACTACTTATTTTTCTTCTAACTGTTTTCAAACGGTGTGATTTTTTTTAGGTTCCATTTGTGTTGGTCACTAATTTTCCGTCTTTAAGCAAATGTAAAATTTTAGTGAATTGATTCACTGTTGTATTCTACTGTACGTTACCACCGATCGTTCTTCCTCATATTACGTTGCTAATTAAAGACTGAATCTATGTTCATACTATATTTTTTATCACTTCAATTATTTTAATTAGTAAATCGACTGTAACTTAAAACAAAATTCAAAACTTTACCCTAAAAAATCTGATTCAATTCTGAATGAAATTCTAGGAAACTGATAAATACAAACTATAAATCATTTTCATTTTAACCATATAAAACAATCGGATAGATCAAACTGTGGTACACTATTTAAGCCTTAGGGTAAAACTACTTTGAATTACATAAAACATGAAGTATTATTAGATTTTTTTTCATAATCACATACTTCTGTTCTTATACAAGTTTCAAACAATATGATCTTCGGAAAGAGTACATGTAATAAAAGCATTAACGATTGTATTATCTAATTTCAACAGTCAAGATACTGCCCCCAAATCCCCTGGTACGGCCGAGAGTGGGGAGAGTCCGCCCTCCCTCTCGAAATGCTCTCACATGGCCACGCGTATATAGCCTCTGCCAGGGAATTCCTACTCACTGCCTTCTCGCAGCGAGGGTGTTGTTTACGAAAATGAGAGGACGAAAAGCGAATGTCCGGCGCTTTAACCGGATTTCAAACCAATGGTGCACATGGGCTCCAGTATCCTGAGGGAACAAATGGGGTATGAACCAATCATTGGTCACCGGCTTCCATGGGAATGCATATCCTCACGATGCTCCACTGCCTTGTGGATCGGACCTTCAGGTCAAAGGCTCGGGGAGTGGCCCCCTTAGATAACCACCTGCTTTGGTTTGGCCATCCGGGCAGTATCACAGCCCTCACACATACCGAATGAAATTTGTGTGGCGCATATGTATTTGGTGCTTCCTTGTACCAATATCTATGTGTTAAAATAAAGAAATAAATAAATACGAACACAAAATTTTGACGTTATGTGACAACTCCATAAGAATCTGGTTGATCGAAATACCGAAGAAGCTACGAACAGTCATCATTAAATTGTGCATGTTCTCTTTTTTTCACTTGTATACTGGTTTTAGACTTTTCATATTACCACAATAGTAAGATATTCCTCGAAATCTTCGCAGTGTATTTATTTGAACGGATACTTTGCCTTCATACAGAATAGTCAGTTATTATTTTCGATAAAATTCAAATTTTACTCAATGTAATGTGCTTAGTTCTCCATCAGCGCATATTTTCGAGCTTTTTCGAACTTACAGGAATAAGATAATAAACTGGCTGATAAATGTGATACTCTATGCCAATACACATTCGTTTTAGATTCTGTTTCGTTTATGACTGACGGACTCCTGTTTTCGTCAGTCATCTATTTTTACACCTTAAGTATGCATAATGTAGTATTCATCCAAATGATCGACATTGCAAGTCTAGTCGTTATTTCATACATTCATGCACCTACAACTCAATCCAGTTTGTAACTGATGATATTTAGGTAAAGCCAGTATATTATCAGTTAGACCGAATACCAAAAAAAATTACCCATCTTTTTCCCTGGAATATAAAATCGCCTTTCAAAAATACTTATTTTCAATATCTACATTAATTTTCCGTTCCATCTTTGGCAAATTGATTTATATCAAATAATCGATAAATATTTCGTCTATTGTTTTCCCTCTTTTTCCTGATGACCGCTTCGCGATTTATTACTTACCATATATGTTAACTGTTAAATATAACACCAAGATATTAAAACTGTTATTTATTCGGGCCCAAATATTGCAGTTCATGTTTTCATCCTTTGTATTCTTTTTCTTTTAAAGAAAAACAAACAAACAATAGAATTCTAATTTAATGGTCAAGTTGAAATGCATTGCGCTTTTTATAAATTTTGATAAATTAGATTCTTGTATTCTTATTTATTCTTTTTTGGTTTTTCAAAATATACATTTTTTTCAATGATTACACTTTAACAATACTCGACGGGATTGAAAATAAGAATAAACTGCACATAATACATATTTCAAAGACAAGTGTTTTCAAAAGGATTGATCTCAGCACATACGATTCATCCTCGCACTAAATATGCATTTCCTATTGACACTAAATTAAAAGCTATTTCATTAGGAATAACACAACACGTTTTTAACCTCTGAAATATTTTTTTTCCTTATTTGGGTGTGCATATTTACTTTTAACCAGTAAAGATTACCTTAAAATGATAAAGATGGTTCATCATACGCTTCTACAGGTCAGCTGCATTTTAGCTGTTTAATGTAGACTTGCCTACTATAAATTGTATGAAAGAGAATTTCTGTAAGGTTTGTAAAATCTAAAACCTGCTTTGTTATTAGTCATTTTGTATTTTTGTTATATATATTCTGGGTCATTCATACAGTTTGTTCTTCAGTAATTCCAACTGTTCCTCAGTTATATTAAAAATTAAGACTGATCCAAAGTAAATTCTTTCAGTCATTCATTAGTGACTTGTGTCTAAATCTGTGGTGCATTCTTTAAATAATCCTCTAAAAGGTTATCGTAAGCATGAAATACAATTATGTGATAGTAATCAATTTTATTACTCAACTTAATTTTTAAATCTCTTCAGCAGAAAACTTTTCAAACAATACTTTTCATAATCTTCTTATTTACTGCTCGATAAATCGAATAAACTCAACCCTTGAAATAAATAGAGTTGATAGACACGAATAAAAGCGTTACCTGTGTATTAAGGAATATAATATAGTAGTAGTAGATTCATAATATGAGTAATAATTGTTACAGTTACACTACCCGCATATATGAAAGCATGGTTGTTAAATTTTTTAGTCGGGAATTGATTTCCCTCATCCAAACTTTTCCACAATTTAAGCGTATTTCACAAGTTTATCCGGTCAAATGTGATTAGACTGAAAGATATTGGTGTTTCATAACATCATTATTTATTAGTCTAATTAGTATAAGAAGATATAGGTTCATCCTCGCTTTGCGTTTCGATGTGCGCTGAATTAATGGTCGAAGACGCTAGATGGCATTTTTCAAAACCAAAGTAATGCAATCATCCTTTAAGTCTGTTTCCTCTTTTTTTTCCCATCACCCCTGCTTCTGTTTGATATTTTTCCATTTTTTAAATTTTCTTTCTGTGGTATCGTGTTATGTGGGAGTTTAAACTAAAGCACTTGTATCTGTCTGTATATGTATATAATCTCAATGGATATGTCCTAGACTAGAAGATTGGTTGTCGCTTTTTATAAAAGTATAGAAAGAGAAAAAATGTTTGAGAGAAACCTTCAAATACTTTTACAGCCCCACTAGGATTATTTATATATTTATTTATCTGTACTTCAAACTTTTACCGATCTATGCTCCCATAATTTGGACTCATAAAAGGGTCCAGCACGATGTAAAACGCTCATGAGTTACAGGTATATTAAGATCTATATCGTATCTATGCCACTTTTTTGTAGTATTTCCCTTCTGGTTAGCGATGTCTTTAGCAAGGTTTTTTTTACTCTACTTTGTCCGAATTTGGGGTCAGGAGTAATCTGAGGACTGAAGACGGAGTAAATGTTTCTTTCACCGTGTAAAAATATTAATTTCAAACCTCTACGCCTACATTATATAATCATCTCTATGTGCTGAAAGTTAAATTTCTCATTTCAGTTCTTCACTAACAAGTACACTAAATCATATCATTCATTTAATTTGCCCAGTTGTTATTTAAACTGAAATTCCTCAACAGATTTAGTCATTATGGAAAATTGCTACCCAATGAGTAGTTCATAAATAATTTTCCGCATTCATTACTTCATAACTTGGATATACAATGATTAAACTATATACAACTTTTCATCAGCTTATGCATACTGCTATTGATCTTTATTTATACTTTATTCTTTCGAAAAGGAACGTGCTATAAAATGGAAGTGTGACAATTCTATGGATGGTTTAACAACAAATGGTGTCATGATGTTACGGATTCCTCCAGCCAAAATTATTGAACAAACAAATGAAGCTTCAGGTATGTCTTATATTATTATATGGGTATGAATCGAAGCAGGTAGATAATTTATATATCAGTTCCGAATCCTGTTACAATTCAATAAAATATTTCATGGAAATATCATTCACTTAAAAAGAACATTTTATTATAAATGTGGAGTTTTAGTTAAATAAATATTAACTGGTATAGAGGTTTGAGGAGATTATTAAACGTTACTAATGTCACGAACCGATCCAAGTTAGACATCCATTAAAATCTAGGAAGCACTGGATAGTTTTTTCATCCTAGTGTTGGACTCCTTAGTGGGTGAGGTCGTGAATGAAAGAACTCTCACACTTCTGAGGAGTCCTATATCGTGACGAAACAGCTGTCCAGTGCTTCCTGGCTTTCAGTGGATGTGTAACTTAACTCGGTTCGTGATGTCAATGAAATAAAATTTTATCAGCGGAGTTATGATCTCGTGGTCAGGGAATTTAACTTTAGCTAATAGGTTGTATGTTCGATTTTAGCAGCCTGGCAGTATTGATAACTTTCTTATACATATGACCCAAACCGGAGTACATAAATCTGTATTTGACAAATCATTAGCTTAAATCAAATCAGACGGACATCAACATCATTTAAAGGACTGGAGAAACCAAAGAAATCACATGTGAAATGTGTAGTTATATTTATAGGGCTGTGAATAAAGTTAACTAGAAGTTTCGATTCCATGACGTAAGTAATCTCTAACTTCAACATAATAACTAACAGTTTATGACACAAATTTGTAATCAATTATCCAATTTATTTGTTTGTATGACGCATCTCGTAGTACTTATGTCCAATTGGATTTGTGGTCAAATGGATTTAATGTTTTAGTGTTGCTTGTCATTGAAGTATTTAGAGTCATGGTACTCAGTATTTTCTCTTACCAATTTCTAGTGCTTTCAAACATTTATTTCAGTTGTCTCTTAGACTTCAACTAGAACATTTAGACACCGATACATCAACTCATATCGATAGCCTATGGCCTATTGAACTCATTCTGTACCTTTGTGTGGCTATTCCAACCTCCTACTATACTAGCCAGCATAATATACCGAGATAATTAGTAGCTGGGATTGCTCAAAGTATCTCTTAATTGTCTGAGTTTATAAACATTCGTCTCAACTAACTTTACCAGCTTGTAACCCAATTAAGATTATGCTTATTTTTCGTTGTTTATAAAATACTCCTACCCTCTTTTACAGTAGCCCATAAGTGCTTTGATTCCAATTTCAGTTTATGAAATCAATGTTGGACATTGTTCAGTACGTGATTCTGTTTTACCTATTATTCAGCACCTAAATCTTCATGAAGTTAGCCTAGTTGAACTATTCTTAGAGAAAATACTAAAGATTTCACATCATACTAATGAAACCTGACATTGCTACGCTGTGGATAATTGATACATCACTATGTCAGGTTAAAAGTACGTGAAAATTACTGATCGTGTTTGACTTTAATGTCATGTGTGTAGTGTTCAACCTCAACAGCGTGTCAATGTTATCCAAACCTGGTTACTTTTGAATGTATTCATTCTAAGAGTTGCAAATAAGAAAAAATGGATTTTAATTCAATAAAACATTTTACTTCAAACAGTTCTTCTGGTTCAGCGTGTAATGAATTAACTAGCTGGTAGAATATTAGCTCATATAGTTAATTATACATTTATCACTAAATATTATCTCATTTATTTATTGTAGTGCTCTTTTTGAATAGACTGATCAAGTTGTTTTCTTCTTTCTTCCTGTTTCTTATATAATGCTCTGTCTGAACTCTTCATCACAATTATGAACAGATCGTGAGTAAGTGAAAGAAAAAAATTGTCTTATCTTTACTGTATTTTATTTTTTATATTTATTAAGCCTTTAAAATTTCATTGTAAACATGTAATCGCATTGTTGGATTTTTACACGCTGACTCTAGTGTTTAGGAACTGAGTTGATTTTATAAAACATTATCATAATTTCAAGTGGTTGGATTTTATAATACTTTTTACATCTCCCTTTTTGATTGATAAAGAATTAGTATGTTGGTATAAAGTATAATGGTAAATTACAATATGGATAGAAATTATTAGGTTACTTTATAGATGAACAAATTAACTTCCGGTGTTATGCAGTAGAATAATTAACCTTTAATTGCTGGATACTAAACAGCAATCTAATTTTATAGAAAAATACAAATATAGTGGGAAGTTTAATCAAGAACGATTATTGTTAGAATAAGGGAATATGAGGAGATTGTAGAATTTTCTTAGTTTTAACTCACAAAATGATCTTATGCCATCATCGGAAATTCGGAAACATTGGACGCCAAGTTCACCCTAGTATTGAGACTCCTGAGGAGTGCACATCGACGACCCCACCACAAGAAATCAAACCCAAGACCTTCGGTTCACCATTGGATACCGGCCCAGCGGTCTATAAGTTAAACGATCTCACACGAGACCAAAGGTCTTTGGACGATTCTCTGTAGTGTAGTCGATGCTCACTGCTGAGGAGTTCCATACTCGGGCGAAATAGCTGTTCGTAGCTTCCTGTTTTTCAATGGTAGTTTAGCTAAAATTAGTTTTTGTTTTAAAAACCGAAACTTGAAACTGTGACTCAATAGTCAAATCACTGAACTTTCAACCAACATTAAATCAAAGACCTGAATCCTATCCTGCTCACCCAATTCCTTTTCCTAACCGTCAACTAGTGTGATTCAAATCCGATTACATAAACCTGTGCACTTAATAATTGAATCATATTTTTTAGACCTTGTTTCGTGCCTTATCTAAGTAACTAACCGAATCATGTAGACATTTAGTCATTTTCAATTCATAGATTTATTTATCATCGTTTCCATCAATTTCCATTCAGAATATTTTTTACTTTCAAATCTATATTTCATTTTCAATTACAGTTCTAATATTCGATCACAATGGCGTGAAGTTAGTGTATGTGGTTCTGTATATGAAATGCGAAGTAATCGTTGCGTACCAACTAATTTGGTAAGAAAAACCCATTTATTCTCTGTATTTTATACCCAGTTATTTGTTCATTGTTATTTCTTTCCTTGTATATGCATCTTTACTTTGTCATTTCGTCTAATGTTGTTTCATCTGTATACTGAATCGATCAATTCACGGATAATGTTTATGAACACAAGTTTATGTGGAATAGACAGAGTGGGGCTAGCAGTGAAATCCAGGACGCGTGTTTCTCCGTGCCTGAGACTCGTCAGATGGATATACCTGGATCCTAGAGTTGATATCCACGCCAGAATTAAAATTCATATTTGCTGTACAGGTGAGTGGTTATATAAATTCAGTAGCTAAGTAAATAAGGCGCTGGTGTTTGAAGTGAAACTCATTTGGTTAGAATTCCGGAGTGGGCATCAATTCTAGAATACAGGTTATATCTAGCTGACGAGTCACAAGTAGGATGAAACGCGCGCCCTGGATTTTATTTCTATTCATATATATGCATTTTGTAAGAGCATAATTGAACAAAATCTTAATGTAATTCATCTACCAAAATACAGATTTATGAACTTGATTTTAGGTTATACATTCCATATAACGATCAATGGTGTTATGGAACTGTTTAGACTGAATTACATGAAACGAAATTTCAGTGGTTGGAAGTTTTAACTATTAAATGTTCTAATATATATGATATAAAGTAATTTAACTAAACATAACGTAGGACACTTTTTTGGAAATAAAATAATACAAGGGGAAGCCAAAATTCAAAACACACAATCAATCACACTACTCCAAAAGTGTCATAAAAATTAGTTCAAATTCAGCTAAAACTTCAGTTCATTAAGGCATATAGATAATATGATTTATAATACTGTTTGGTCAAATAAAAATTAAGTTGTGTTTTATTACACAAAGACCAGGAAATTGTAGTTTGCACTTTTGTACGTTGAACTAAATGCTATTCAGTCCGGAACGAAGAGATTAAAAATCCTTTCGATAGATTCGGACCAAACTTCAAATGATAATATGTTGACTAAACTTGCTCTTACTGTAACAATCTGATTGAATTAAATTGAATATAACGCTTGGTAACTCATTCTGAAATGGTAGATACATTAAATGGAAAGTATCGTATGTAAAGGTTACACATTTCAGAATGGTGGAGTGAGGTCGAATTAGCCGACTATATATATATATATATATATATATATATATATATATATATATATATATATATATATATATATGATGTTGCCACTAAATCTCCACGTGTCCGAGAAAAGACTCCTGAAAATTGATTGCATTGCGCAGAAAAGAATGAAAATCGTTTTCCCTTCTTCCTCTTGTGAAAAGCCAGCATCACTAGAGGTACTAGTTTTTTGGGCAAAAACATGTAATTCAGTCTCAACAGTTCCATAACACCATTGATCGTTATATGGAATGTATAACCTAAAATCAAGTTCATAAATCTGTATTTTGGTAGATGAATTACATTAAGATTTTGTTCAATTATGCTCTTACAAAATGCATATATATGAATAGAAATAAAATCCAGGGCGCGCGTTTCATCCTACTTGTGACTCGTCAGCTAGATATAACCTGTATTCTAGAATTGATGCCCACTCCGGAATTCTAACCAAATGAGTTTCACTTCAAACACCAGCGCCTTATTTACTTAGCTACTGAATTTATATAACCACTCACCTGTACAGCAAATATGAATTTTAATTCTGGCGTGGATATCAACTCTAGGATCCAGGTATATCCATCTGACGAGTCTCAGGCACGGAGAAACACGCGTCCTGGATTTCACTGCTAGCCCCACTCCGTTTATTCTATATAAACTTGTCACAATGGTTTATCGATGGACACATATCAACTATGACTGTTCAACCAATGAGATCACAAATTAGAATATTGTTCGATTCTCAGTATGACCTTTACATTTTAATTTCTTCATAGCTTTCTGGTGGATTGTCAACTCGCATATTCCGACGCGTAACTTATTTTCATCCCCCTTTTCCTCTTTATCTCTTTTTTGACAATTCAAATCTCAAACCACTTTATGATGTAATCTCTTTCTATTCTTCTATATATTTATTAAATAAGCATAAATACACGCAAGACTGAACGGCCGCCTCATGCTTCCAGTTTCTCGATGATAGTCTACCTATGACCATTTAGTGATTTAAAACCGAGAAAATTCTTTAATCTCCACAAGTCTCCCCATGCTAAAAATATACAACTGTGCAGCTTAAGTAAATGATATCGTCAAAGCGAAAATTTTCTCTGCGTGATCTTTATTCTGTATTCAATACCAAAACGGGCTACTTTAGTAACTAGTTAACTTTTAAGTAACGTCATTCTTCGACCCCGTTTACAAGCACCTATACATGTTTCTAGTTTCAACAACTAATCTTTTGTTTAATAAGGTTAATTCTTATACCATAGCAGAAATAATAATAATAATTTTTACTTTCTCTGAATTCTTTCCATGATTTCTACTTTTCTTCGTTTAGGTTAAAGAAGATAATATTCTCACTGATATGACAATCATAGATCTATGCGGAGTAACTTTATTATGGCGATCTAGATCAGGATTAAAATATACAGCTTGTCCAGAGGATTTAATGAAAATGGTTAGTCCCGTTGTTGTTGCTGGTTTCATTCCGATTGATTGTAGTTAGTCCCTTTTCATTGTATTTTATTCGGGCGGGAGTATGATCTCACTGATGTTCGTTTACGAAACTAATGGCTAATGCTAATATCCGTCGAAAAGTATTTTATTAACGAATCAGTGTCCATTTTTTATTTTAGTTTTCAGTTTCCCGGATTGTTATAGTCTTTCGTATTCTGATCTTTCCTTATAAGTGAGAATTATATTTAAAATAATCTTAGCGATTGAAATTTAAATAATCCCCACATATCATCCAGCAAACTTATCTGAACTTCTTCAGAGTAATAATAAAAATCATCAAAGAAATGTATAGCGTTTAACAACCAAATCTATACTGTGCTAATCCAATTATATTTCGATGCTTAAATAGGATAACATGAGTCAGTTAATTGCGAATCATGTGAAAAGTTCACGATGTGAAAATAAGTAACTGGATGAATTGTGCGTGTGTGTATGTCTGTGTAAGATTGAGTTATTAATAGTTGATATTTGGTGTTAATTTGTTTTTATATGAAGGAAAAATAAAAGTACAAGTTGAAGGTTGGAAAATTGTTTCTGAAACATCGACGTGCATGAAAAATGAGAATCATCAAATACATTGTTATATATTGTTAAAATAACCCACATTAATTTCAGTTAGAATAACGATGCATGTGAAATAAACAGGTTGGATAGAGAAAGGGTCCAATTACTTCTTAGCGAGTATGTGCCAAGTAGTTGTTAGTTGAATACCATCCTTTCTGTTCAGGTTGTTCTTATTCGCCCATATATACAGCGCTTCTGTTGTCGATCTTTCTCTGTGAGCTAAAGCCTTTCTAAAGTGTTTTTGGTCCCTTCAAAATTGATCTTGTGTTCTGTTTCCAACGCATGTAATGCTATCGCCGACTTATTCTTTCTTTAGATCGACCGAGAATTTGTGAACATTTTCCAAACGTTGTTTATTATTATTATTATTATTATTATTATTATTATTATTAATGGCTTTATTCAATATTATATTTTGTGTTCCTTCAACCTCGCATTCAATTGTCTTGAAGTTTCTCCCATATACGCTGCATTACAATCATGATAGTTGATCTCATAGACAATATTTTATTGTTCTTCCTTTGGAAATCTATCCTTAACCTTCACTAATGCTGATCTTATAGTATCACAAACCCGAAAATACATTTTTATATCATGTTTGTTTGGAATCCTCTTAATTTCTGCCGATGTTTCACTGCGGTATGCGATGACGACAGTGGACTTACAATCTTTCGGTATACATTCGAATTTAGCTTTTCCTTTAATTCTTAATAATCTTCTTTAGAAACTGTTTGGAGTGATTGTTATCCTTAAACGTAGACAAAATTTCAATTCAACCCGTTAGTCTTCCTTATCTGTAACGAGATTAGAACTCCTGTTAATTAAATTTCTTACCACTATGACTTTCGTATAAAACACATGAGCCGAAGAACCATAATCTAAGTATTTCTCAGAATGTGTCGATTTCCTCAATGCATTTATTTTCAACTTATTATTATGTCCTCGTTTAAACAAGCAGTCGAGAAACTCTAGTTTGTGGTCACTGGACTTTATTTTCTTTATTAACTTGGTGCTCTCCGAAGTGATGTTTACATTTTCAAACGATTCTTCTGAAAGATTCCGTTTAATGATAATAAAAATGTCATCTACATACCGTAATCAGACTTTTGGTGGACGTACACATCTTGTGACGCATGGTTGACCCTCAATATTATAGTTTGTTTGTTCATATGAATTCATGAAATAGCATCTCCCAGCCATATTTTAAATACTCTTGTTGTGTAAATGAATTCTATCTGAAGTTTGTGCTGATGTTCAGAAGAACGATAAAAGCTCCACGACCAAAACATCCAGCTCAGAGAACAAAAGTCCATTAAAAAATGATATTTCGTTTATCACCGTCATCATTATCAACAGTGAAATCAGAAAGTGGTTACAATATTGATTTTCTTTATAATAACATTGCTGAATTAACTTAGTTCAATTTCACTAACTATTCTCATATGAGATGTTTTCCCAGTAACTTTATAAACAACGAATTTGTAGACTGTCCCTATTTTTTTTGTTATATTGTAAATATTGTAACCTATTTATACTGAAGTTATTGTTTTGTTTAATTTTTATGCCCCATTATTTTTCTTAAATATCATGTTTTTTCTTACTTTATTTGGACACTGATTATTATCTGATATGAAAAAAAGTAAAGATCCATGTCTCAATTATAATATTTATTTGTAAATGTTCTTCCGTTTTGTTAAGATATAACTGTAATTCTAAGAGACAGTTCACTTTGACCAAGCGGCATAAGAATTCAAGGATAAAATAAAATAACTGATCGGTATAAGACTTATGATTTATAAGTCCTTAGGATTCATAACCTGAATCGAATATATAGAGATTTTTCTCTACTTGAAAAGGAAAATCGTATTTCAATCCTTTAAGACCCTATTCACAAAGTCAATTTCATGGTTATAAATTAAAACACAAATGTAACATTATTGTTGATCTTTGGCAACTAATTTATTTCATGACTGAATCATATATCATGTCACTTATCTTACTTATTGTTAGGGACATTATACCCTCAAATACAATGTACAAGAAAAAATATCAATCTTAATTCGGTATATCCATTCTCATGAATTCTATTCATTCATTTTGAGTGTAATTCATTTGTATTTAGTTATTTGATTCTAAGTTCATTTTCCCTCTGATAGTTATTTCATCGTGATTTCGTATGCAATGGCAACTATTTATTTAATAAAACTGTGTATTTAATAATCACTGAATTATCTTGGATATGTATTTATTCTTCCTTGGTTTTATTCAATAAATCTTCCCAATTAGGTTGATCTTTTTGAGTAGTCATGGTGGAGCTAAAAGCGACTATAGCTGTTCTGTATTGTATCTCAGTTGTCAATAGAGTTATCATTGAATATCCTCTATATGTGACACTCATACTATTTCCAATAGTGGGATCTGAAGTTTGCAAATGAGCAAGGATTCAAGTATATCCAAGTCTCTAGAGGATAATAACCAATGTATATTTTTTTTATCTTTACCACAAAAGTAAACAATCTAATTATGTGACATAGTACTTTGCGCTACATTGTTTCCAGAATACAAATTATAAAAATTTTTTTCTCTAGAATTAAAAATCTCACTACATAAATTAAGCTTTATATAATTACCTCTTTGTTTGCTCTGAGTAAATATTTATTTTTTCTTTGTTTATAATTGTTTGTATCGTTATCTCTTTCTTTCTCTCTCTCTCTAGATCAATGGATTGAATCAAGCTCATATTCAATGTCCTGTCCTATATCGTACATTGAAACTTCCACTTTTACCTCAAAGTACTTATTTTTCACCTCATTCTGACGTAGTTAATATGGAAAATAACAATGGGATATTAAATAACGACAATGCACTATCTAAACTAGAATCAGATCAAATTAGTCCTGATCAAATGCCTTATGTGTATGTAAGCTGTGGTCATGTACACGGTTGGCATAATTGGCATGCAGTTGGTGATGTGTGAGTTTCATGTATCAATATATTTAATATATTGTCATTATGATCTGAAAGTATGTATTGTTTAGAACTTGGATTTATCTTATTTTTCATTAGGACAATCATTTTTTGGCACAAAGACTGGGCAGTAACTAATGAACATATTTATAAGATGTTATAGAAATATTCCAAGTTGGGTTTTTTAGCTACATTAACACCATTACTGATGTATTTTGTAGAATTATTGTAATTGTGAAGATTTTCAGTTGATATGGTTAATAAAATGAATTAGCCTATATATGTACGCAAATTAGTTTTTATTTTAAAAAGGTGTTATGCAAGTCTATAAATTAATCAATCGAGCACTTTTTTATCAGACAAGTCTTGCGTTAAGAAAAAGATATAGATTAATTTACTTAAAAAATTGAATAGTTGAAACAGTATTCTATATGGCAACTTTTATTTGGCATTTAACTAACCTAATGGATTCACAAATAAATATACATTAAGATCGGAAGAGGTTTTCGTGGATATTATAGTAATTTCAGTAGTTGAGATCAGTTGAAGCTAGACCACCATTGAAAACCTGGAAGCACTGGACGGCCGTTTCGTCCTATTATGGGACTCCTCGGCAGTGCGCATTTCCTGGAGTTCTAGTGAGAAACAATGACCAGTGGAGTTCAACCAGGTCTGTTGTGAGATATCAGATCACTGATGACAATGGTGACAGTGGCGCAATTTCGTGGATTGGTTGAAGTTAGACATTAACACCGTTGGATGCCGGCTCAGCGGTCTAATGGTTAAGCGCTCACACGCGAGACTAATAGGTCCTTGGTTCGAATCTCGTGAGGCAGGATCGTGGATGCGCACTGCCGAGGAGTCCCACACTAGGACGAAACGGTCGTCCATTGCTTCCAGGTTTTCCATGATGGTCTAGCTTCAATTGACTCATGATTTCAACTTTTAAAATTACTAAAATCTCCACAAAACCCCTTCTGATATTATTAAAAAGACTGAAATATAATTCACAGAAATATTTGACCTCAATAAATTCATTGTGTTTAAGTATTAAATAAACATAATCAGAATTATTTAGATATGTTTACCTAAGAAAAGATAAACAGGTATAGTAGAGTGAAAATATTCATAGGTATTGAAGTTGTCACCATTTTAAAACAACACGCTCAAATACAACCAGCAAAACTGGGTAAATGTTAAAGTGAACAAGTATAAAATAAATAGAAAGAACGGAAACCTTATATAAAGTATTCAAGTAGTCGAAAATCAGATGGTAAATAGTACATAACTATCTCAGGAAAAAGAGCTCCATTTAGTAGACTTACACTTCCCTCCTATATCAGTCAAATTAACAATCAGTAACTTCATTGACTAATCCCATGTGTTAGTTTGATCATCCGTAAGCTTTAACTTTATCTTACTAAATTTAATAATGCATGTCTGGATAAACAGTGATCTATGTAGGATGCTTAATACTTTAGACGATTGATAAGCTATTTAGCTTGAAAATTTTCAGCAACTAAAATTTTTTAAACTATTTTGTCTGTCAAACCCTTGGTAACAAAAAGTAAAGAACATGAATTCTAATACTGTTAATTCTCATAAACTTTTTTATTTTTATCTCTTTTCTGTTTAAATTAATAATAACTATCAGTTTTGTTTTAACTTATCCAGAAATAGTCGTCGAACATGTCCATTATGTTTACAAGCATCATTGTTTATCCCATTACGTATGGGCATTGAATCAGCATTCTATGTTGATCGTAGTTTAGCTACGCATTGTTTTAATCCTTGTGGACATATTGCTTCAGAAAATACTGTACGGTAAGTTTAAACGAATATTAACTACTACACATGATAATAAGTAACATCTTTGATTATTATACATTCTTACAATATATGCTATAAAGATATATAGATTCAATCACATATTAGGTTTAATTTGATTGTATTCAACTCTAAAAGTATGAATTGTTGTAACGTTTAATGCTACTCTTTTTACTGTAGTCACGACATGAAATAGAATTTATTGTAGAGAACAATTTCGTAATTAGGTTTATTTGAAGTGCATAATCAAAATGTCTTTCCTGCTAGTAATCCCTATGGGTTTTTTCTAAAAATAACTTTATTATGTAATAGTAACTTACTTAGGTATACTTTATACAATACATGTTGTTTTAACATTCACATTTTCAATGTGCTAACAAAAGTAATGTGTGAACTCCTGGCATATATTGTTGTTAGAGCTCTATGATTGAATATATATATGTCTGCTTTGATCTGTCTGCTTAAATACAATATAAACCGAATAGGAATCTCTATCAGCGTAATTAACTGTAATTACAACTTGATGTTTACTTTTAAATGGTCAAATGACCTCAGTAATATCAATATTGATGTTGGCCCTTGGTTCATCTCTGCACTCATACTTGATTCACTGTACTTCCTTCGCATGCCATTTAACTTGAGATTCACCGATCGAATGTGTTCCGTATATCTGCTGGATATCCAATTAGATACAGCAATTGTATTCTTTTCGGTTCAGTTTTTATAAGCTACTAATACTGTCAACTTCCAGATAACAAATACAACTTGTAGTTCGAATGCTTGGATCTATATGTGGTTACTACCAAGTATCCCTCAACATGCTAAATTCGAACTATTGCTAACTATCGTAGAATCGAGCCAACCATTCAGACCAATCACTGAGTTGCTCAACTAAAAACCTCAATATTCAACCGCTGAAGCCTAAGGTAAATACCACTAACCAGGGTACATGCAGTCCAGCACGAAGCCAGATGCATGCTAAAAAAGCCTCAGTATAGTCACTATTATTTAGAAAAAGCCATAATTCTGTCGAACCACAGTAAAATATATCGAAATCTCTCTTGACTTGTAAACTGCGCTATTTGTTCCTAATCATAATTACCATCTAGTGACCGAATAAATAATTCTTAAAGTATCTCAGAATATCCATTTCTAAGTAAGACAATAAGCATTTTAACCATCTATATGGAGTTGCGAGTTATCGATGAAATCACTTAACTTTCAGTTAAAGAGTTCTAAGTTTGACTCCCACTCTACTTTTATTTTTAATCGTGATTGGTATACCAATAACCCTATTCCATCATAATTGTGTCCAAAATTCAGATTTCTAAAAAACCAGGTTATCTGTGTTTTTTTGTTAATAAACAAGTTATAGTTCTTATGTGTAAGAATAGCCTCGGTAACATTTTTCCAATTCATATTTTCCCAATGACGTTTGCTGTTATTTGAGTGTCTGTTTTCACTTATAATTTACTAGTTTTGTTATATGTCTCAAAATCATTGTCTGTTGTCATATACAAAGAGTTGTTTTACTTCAAATTGGATCTCCTGAATAACAATCTTTTTCTTAACACCATCTTCTCTTTGTGTTTCATCGCGTTGAGGATAATTGGTGAACTATGTATATGTCAGTTATCTCGTCTATCGAGCTTGTGTAGATCCAGTTTCGTATTAGAGAAAATATCCCACTTGTTTACTGTCGAAAAGGTAACACTGTGTTGTATGTTGTTTATGCTGATAGATATAAGTAGTATGTAGCACCAATCGGTAGTGGAATGCCTAGCAGCAGGACAGTGAAATGATGAGAACAGAGAAGGAATCGGAGAGCAACCGAAATAACAGCAAAATTAGAGGAATAATGGAGTATATAAAGGGCAACACGAAGATGTGCAAATGATGTATTTAATGTATGATTTTCATATTTTAACCACTATGTGGTTTGTACACTAGTGTGCAATTATTTACTGATTTCCATCATTACACTTTTCTAACGTTTCACGTATTTTCATGTCATTGTTTTTTTTCATCTTCACTCCAGATACTGGTGTAGTTTACAATTATTAAATCGATATAATTTTGAATTACACGCAAGATGCCCATTTTGTTTGACACAAATACATTCAAAACCAGTGAAATTATTATTTCAAAGTGATTTATCAGAAGAAGAATTTTTGGAATTAATTAAAGAACAATTATACGTGCGTACATTAAATATGGAAAAATACGAAACATTATCACGTCCTATCCATAAAATAAATAATAGATCATCAAAAATTAATTCATCACAATCCCATTCCATTTCTAATAATAGTAATAATAACAGTAATCAAGAATCTGCTCATTCATCTTCGTCTTCCCCTCCTCATCCTCATCTTACATCTTCTTCCTACAACCATGATGATCGTCTTCATTCTTCATCGTGTTCATCATCTGATGAAGTATTATTATCTTCTACATCATCATTATCACAAATTATATCATCATCACCAACTACCTCTTATTTATTAAATAATATTCATTCATCAAATAATCCTTGTCGATCGGCAGCAGTAGTAGTAGCATCACAAGAAAATTCTAATTCTTTACGATTAAATGAAAATCATTCAATCAATCATGATAATCTTAATGTTCCACATTCAAACTATACACCTTGTTTATAGTTTAACTAAAATTATTTCATCAGATTGATTTTCGTTTTACTTGTTTTTTTCTCTACTGGACTTTCATCGCTAACAACTAAAGTAAGTAGTGGATTTCGTCAAATGCCAGCTACTCATTCTCTTTTTGCATTGTTATTTGTATTCATAATTATATATATTAATAGTGATAATAAGACCCCGGAACTGAAGTGAAGGTTAGAAAGTGGTCCCTAAAATTGTACATTGTTTCCCTTTTTCACGGAGACCTGATGCTACTAGTAAACTTTAACGAATTAGGAGTCGAGACATCAAATTAGGAAACAAGTATTCATAGGAATAACCATATAACCAATATCAAGCAGTCGTCTTTGTACTCTGCTGTCATACTATCTAATCGATGAAATGATCAATACCAGTCCTATTTCTTTATCAGGTTTTCCTAGATAAATCGACCGTTCGTACGATAGGCAATTGAAATAATCCAACTACATAAGCGCGTACATCAGTACTCAATACTATTCTGTTCATCATAAATTCCGATCACTTAACTCATGTTCTCTTAGGTTTTATATTTCCATTATTAATTCTTACTAGCTTCTTAGTTTTTATATACGAATACTGGTGATTCGACGGTAGATCCTTTAATATCTCTATTTTAAGTTACGTTTTCAATTTTGTCTAGTGTGATACTGAAATTTTCATTTAGGTATTGTGTTAGGTGGTTGAAAATAGCTGTCAAGAAACCTTATTTTTAGGTTTCGTGCTAGTCGACATTCGTCAGTAAGTTGTGCTTGTATTCTTATGAGAACTGATGCTCTCTGTGGGATTAGAACCCGTCACCCGGCTTCACACTTAGAGACGTTAGCACTGAGCTATTCTGGCCATTACTGACCTATGGGACTAAAATGTTTTTAACTCATTGATCACTGAATAGTGACCAATGTCATATTTATCTAGTCTCTTAAGTGCTGGTCGAATTTTATAGACTAGTTTTCATCGTGGCCACTATTCTAATTAACTCGACATCGCATCCCCTGTATTAGGATATTAATTGGTTAGAGTGGTAGTCGACAAGAAACCCTGTTCACAAAACCTAACCCATTAGTATGTTGGTATTCAAATCATTAAAACTTTATAAAACAGGATTTTCAGTAAATTTATAATTTGATCAGAATTGTTTAAATACATGTCCCCAACAGAATCTTAATACATACAAACACACAAGTTTACAACTTTCGCAGTATTCGAATGATAGTACTTTTAATTAATGAATATCATTAGTAATATTACCTTCATTCATTATGATTTTTGTTTTTGTTTTTTTAAAGACAATTTTTACTTCTAGAGAGAGAGAGAGAGAAATTACCAAAGTAATCCAAATTGTAACTAAGCACATTATTTCAAATTCATCTGACTTTTTTGTATGCTCAAATATTTCACTTAAAACGTTATCCCTATTATCATCATCATCATCATTCTCATTAATGTTTTGATTCTTCAAACACCTCTACGCATTATTTTGAGGGAAATAAATTCATTTATTACATACAACACTAATTCACTTCACTCGGCTTTTTTTCTAATGGAATCAAAAATAATGTTATGTTGTTGTACTACTATTTTTACCCATATTTCCTTTCCTTTTTATATCTTTTAACAAAACAATCTAATGTTAAATGTTTGTTGGTTATATTTCTCATTACTGTTTATCAATGTATTTAATATCATATTATTAGTTTTTAATAGTTAAAAATAATATCATTGTTAACCTTGTGTAATTACACATCTCAATCCCTTTTTTTCATACTATCCAAAATGCATTATCCATACAATTCATATTTTCTAAGTAACCGGTACCAGTTAGGTATACATACATACTTATTCAGTCTTACTGATTGTGATTGTGTTAAGCTGAATTTCTTTTGTTTGTTTATGTTCATCGGAACAGTTTTCCTCCAATAACTTGTAAGTGTAACATTTATCACTACTTTTCCGTATTGTCTTTCTTTTTTTTTCTTCTAAACTGTTTACTTCAGTGACTTTTTTCACTACAGTGATTATTGTTTGTTTGTTTGTTTGTTTGTTTGTTTGTTTGTTTGTTTGTTTGTTTGTTTGTTTGTTTGTTTGTTTGTTTGGTAATATAATCAATATATGTGCTTTTTCTTGTACTTGTATGTATGCATTTTAGTGAAAAGTTACTTTTAAATTTGACTTTATATTTGTATTTTGTTCTTTATTTTTCTTCGTTTCTTTTTTTCTTCAATATTATCATTTCAAACAAATAATCATTTTTATCACTGCTTTTTATCCTTGTTTTTTTCTAGTATTAGTATATAAATAAAAGGGCAAATTTCATAGGTTTTTAAATGATCTACCATCTGTATATGTAATTTGAATGATTTATCCAATGATATCGACTATATCTTAAATTCAGTCTATGATTATCATTTAAACTTTTCAGTAATCCATTGAAATTGAAAATCTACTTGAATATCGAAGTTTCTTTTATACAATATTCGTCCGTATACATATTTTACTTCCCATGTTCTAACTTTATAATGAGTGAACCATAAACAATATATATTTTCCTATTTATTCAGTGTATTATACTTAAGCTAAACCCGTTTGGACAACAATGCTAATGAAAGCTAAATTCGAACTGAATTGGAAGTTTATTTCAGATATTCATTTACACAGACATGGTAATAGGTGTAATGTGGAGAAAGGATTCTCAGCCTACTCAATTTGACTAAAACGTAACATGCTCAAGGTTACACGTGAGGCATTGACAAGTTCAAACATATAGGTTATAATAAAAGTAAAAAGATTAGAATAATTTATCTCTCCAATGGTTAGGACAAATAATGTATGTGTGATATCAGAGATTTGCTGCTATCCCTTGTCTATTAAGTGTAAACATTTTTTTGGTCTTCAGTATCCTATCACAAAATAAAATTTTAGGAATTGTTCTATAAATTTGAATTAATTTTCTGACACGTATACTATGGTTTTGACGATATGGTTAACGTAAAGATACAATCATAAGAATACATCTGATTTCACTTTGAATTTCTAAACTAAACTTTAGAATTGAATACATAGGGGTGTTTTTGGTGCTTTAGGTTCTCTATGCCTTTATTGTCATTCTGGACAACATCAGGACCCAATTCATATAGAAATGAACTTTCGGGTTATTAGACAAGAATTAAATACCTGGTGGTGTTGTGTGTGATCAGTTGTCTTCGTAGATTTCAACAAAGCAAAAATAATAAAACTGGATAGTTTCATTTTATTTCTTTACATTCCTAACTGCCTACAACCTAGTAGTGTCATGAGTTCAGAACTTCCGTTTAATTGGTTCATTTAATTCTAGAGTCCACTAACGATGCATCTGCTGCATACCTATCTAACAACGATCTTTTCTTTTACCAATGATAAAAAAACCCTGAAAAAACGACTTCAAAATCCTAAACCCTATCAGTCCACTCATATTCTATCCTAATAACCAATCAGAATATTAAAACTCCCTGTTAAATTACACTATTATTCTCTATTCATTATACCACAAATAAGAAATAATTTGTACACAACTAAGTTATGGGTGGTATCAAACGGAGTAATAGATAAATAATTAATATTAATGGTTGGATTCATGAGTCGATATAAGCTAGACCACTATTGGAAACCTGGAAGCACTGGACAGCAGTCTCGTCCCAGTATGAGACTCCTCAGCAGTGCGCGTCCACGATCCCGCGCACGGGATTCGAACCCAAGATCGTCGGTCCCGCGCGAACGCTTAACTTCTAGACCACTGAATCAGCATCAGACGATGTTAATATCTGACTTCCATCGATCCATAAATGGCTGCGCAACCATTCATCCATTGTTTGAGGTAGATACCTGTCTCTACCTGATACAGATTGGACTCCACGGGTCATGGCTTCTCACTAGAACTCCAGGGAAATCTTGAAATCAGTCACTAGCGAGCACATGATGATTATTACTAGTATGGGGATTTGTGGAGATTGTAGTATTTTCATAATTGAATTCATGAGTCAAATTAACAGTTATAAGGGATGAAGAGAATACACTTAATTAATCATTCTAAGAAAAATCACAACTTTACATAATGGCCAGAATAGATCGGTTTTATGTTAAAATTACTACAAACCCCATTCTGAAAATAATTATTTAACAAAATCCCCAGAACTTTAAAATACACATCGACTCATAATTAAGAGATAAAAATACCATAAACTACATATTTGATAATTACCTATAATATTTATCCATAGAATAGTTTTAACTTTTCTCAACTCACCGTTCATTTCAATGAACATCATCCAATGTTATGCGCCTACCAACGACTACAATGAAGACGCTAAAGATCAATTCTACAATAGGCTGCAGTCAATCGTCGAGAAGTGCCCAACAAAAGACCTGACCATTCTGATGGGAGATGAGGAGCTGATATAGCATCAGATCATCACCTACTGGTCGCCAAGATGAAATTGAAACTTCAGAAGCACTGGAAAACGGAGTGGACAACATCACAAAAGTTTAGTACGGCTTTTCCTCGGGATACTAACAAACTCAACAAATTCAAGATAGTCCTCAGCAACAAGTTCCAGGCCTTTCATGATCTACTCAATGGAGAAGGAACTACAATGGAGAGCAACTGGAAGGGGATCAAAGAGGTAATCACTTCAACATGTTATGGGGTCCTGGGTCACAAAAAGCACCAT